TTAATTAATGCTTTTTAGGTAGTGATAGCAGCTAAGGTATCCAAATCTTATTGCTACCTCTGTCCTTGGCAGTTAAGATGACATTTAATTGGATTATGGTTTGCTTTGGAAGCATTTCAGTATAATTAAGCAATTTGTCTTATTTTAAGCATTCCCAAGAACTTATTGTTGTTTCATTTAAAAAAACATATGTATATTATACACCTTGTACGAAATGGTATTTTTTAAAAGATGAAGCATCTTACTTAATCATTTATTTTTGTTTTGATAAACTGTGACATTTATATGCTCTATAACATGTTGTGTGGCCTTACAAGAAAATTTTATACCAACATCAGTTATTATAGTTGTATGAATTAATTTTTAAAAATCACAGTAGTAACCTACATTAACATAGTTTATATTGAGGTTTATTTAACCTTAATATTGAACACAGATTGTTTGAAGAAATTTCTTATTTGAAAATCTCATATCATATTGGTGTTAACTGAAAACAGCTTGAAAGAACTAACTGAAAAAGATACCAGTACAATTATTGACAGGAAGATTGGAGAGATTTAAAGATGTTTGTTTCTCAACTGTACTCCAGTTAGGACTGATTACAAGATCTATAGGGGTCAGGAATTGGCAAACAGAAATAGTCTGGTTTTCAAAACAGAGTATTTATTATAGCAGGTGGCTGGTGAGCCAAATCCATCAACTACCTATTTTTATAAATAAAGTTGTATTGGAACACAGCCATTCATTTATGTGCTGTCTATAGCTGCTTTCACACTATAACGGCTGAATTAAGTAGATTAAGTAGTTGCAACAAAGATGACAAGATTTGCAAAGCCTGAAATATTTATTATCTGGACCTTTACAGGAAGTGTTTACCAATTTCTGCTTTTTACAATGGTAACAATTTTTTGTACATTCTTACTGGCCATCACTTTCACATTGTTAGGAAAATGACTCACTCTTCTCTGCAAACACACTACCCTTATTTGCATATGTCTTTGCTCATAGATGTTGTTATTCTCCTTTTACTCATGCCTAAAATCTGTCCACTTTTTCAAGGTATAATTCAAGTAACACCTCCTCCAAGAAGTTTGCAATAAAGAAATGAAGTTCAATTTCCTGGACAGATTTCTCAATTGCTCCCTTAGATCCTTACATACACTCTAACATCCCTTGCCCATCTCTTGCTTGTACTTGCTTGCCGTACACACAACAGGTTTAAATCCAATTCTTTCCCTATCCCAGGCTATTTATACCTTGCAGCTTACTGTGGCTGGAGAAAACACGTGCAAGCATACTGAAGAATCTCACTCTGTGACCCTACAGGATCATGATATTTTAATAGGCCAGGCTCTCATACCACACTTACACCTATTCCTTCTCCCAGTTACATCTCCCAATTACTCCAGAAAGTATAAGGGGGTAAACCCAGCTGAGATCCATGTGGTGTTAATTCTGCAGGCTCACAGAATGCAATAGCTATGGGGGCATGGTTTCTTCCACCTTGATTTCAAAGGATTTTGTGGACTACGTGGGGCCCAGGCAGAGATTTGTTGTGGGACAGAGCCACCACAGAAAGCTTAGTGGAGCCATGGACGTGGAGTTGTCACCAAAACCCGAGAACTGTAGAGCTATTAGTGTGCAACTCTAACCTAGAAAAGGTGCAGGCATGAGACTCTAACCCAAGAAAGCTGCAGTGTGGGCTGAGACTAGCAAAGCCATGGGGATGGGGCTGCTTGAAGCTTTGGGGGCCCAACAATTACAGTGGGCCCAGGATTTGGAACATGGGGTGAAAGGAGATTATTCTCTAGTTTTATGATTTAATGTTGTGTATACCCTGTTGGGTTTTGGACTTATCTTGGACTAGTTACCCTGCTTTTCTTGCCTAATTTCCCCCTTTTGGAATGAGAATGTCTGTCTCACCATTGTATTTCAGAAGTAGATAACTTATTTTGATTTCATAAGCTTATAGCTAGGGGGAATTTGCCTCAGGATTAATTGTGCTTTAAGTCTCACCCACATCTGACTTAGATGAGACTCTGGACTTTGGACTTTTGACTCTGGACCTATTAGGGTTTTGCATTGTGTGAAGGACATGAATTTTGAGGAGTCAGGAGTGGAATGCTATAGTTTGAATGTTCCCACCAAAAGTCATGTGAAATTTAATTGCCATTCTAAGGGTGTTGAGAGGTGATGAGGCATCTCTTTAGGGGCCTTCATTAGGAAGAGCTCTTATGAATGGATTAATGCAGTTATTGAGTTAGTTATTGTGTGAATGGGCTCCTGGTAAAAGGGTGAGTTTGCTTCAATTTCCTCTCTGTCTCCTGTGCTTGCTCTGGCCTTCTGCCAGTCTGCTGTGGGATGACCCTTGCCAAATATCACTGCCATGCTCTTGGACATTTTAGTCTCTAGAACCATGAGCCAAATAAACTTGGGCTCCTTATAAATTACCCAGCCTGTGGTATTCTGTTACAGCAGCAGATAATAAACTAAGATGGCAGTGAAAGCTATGTTTCTTTTCAGCTGCACTGGGTATCTTTTCTTTTCAGCTGCACTGGGTTCTATTATCACTGTTTTGTTAGAAATTTTGGAGGAAATTTCCTACTACATTCCTCCATTGTTTATCAACCATATTTTATTATGGGGCCTTCTGGCTACAGCACTTAGTCATCTTTTACATATATCAGCAGAAGGTAGTTGGGCAGGGCAGTAAAAGTCCATTATGACAGTATGGAGACTCACTGCTGCAAGAGCTCAGGAGTAAAATCTCTGTTGTTTACTAAAGTAGTTTTCTGAGGCCTTAGTAGGAATTATATCACCCTTACCATTATTCAATCCTAAGTCAATAAATACTGTTTTTTGAATAATGTGGAGTTTGGGATACCATAACTAAAAAAGATATAGAGAATTTAGAGAAGGATTTAGATGTAATTGCAAAGATAATTATGAAGTTTCGTAAAAACATTTGAAGGATTGCAATAATGTAGACAAGGAACAATCATAAAATGAGAGCAAGAAGGAGGATGTTCTGTTGCAAGGACGTGGAAACAACCCAAGTGCCCATCAATTCATGAGTGGATTATTAAAATTTTGTATATGTATACAATGGAATATTACTCAATTAGAAGAAACAACAGTTATCTAGCACCTCTTGTATTTTCCTGGGTAGAGCTTGAGCCCATTATATGAAATGAGGTATCACAAGATAGGAAGAATAGGCTCCACATGTACTCGCCATCAAATTGGCACTAACTGATCAATACTATGGTGTTCTTACGGTAGTAATATTCTCCAGGGATTAGGGAATTGGGGGGGAGTAAACTCACAACTAATAGATGTGGTGAGCATTGTAGAGGGAAGGGCACGCCCCTAACCCTTGCTTGGGTGACACAAAGGCATAGAATGTAACCAATGTTTGTACCCTCATAATATCCTGAAATGAAAAAAAAAAAAGGAGGATATGCTTCAAATAAACCAATGGGTGATTTAGATCACATTTAAAAGGAGGATTAGATTAATATGTTTTTGTGGAAAAAAGGTATTCCTATTAGATATGCCCTTAAAATATCTTGTTTAATACATAGATAAGTGCTAGTGATTTTCTTTTTAAGAGTTATACTCATGTCTGTAATCCTAACACTCTAGGAGGCTGAGGCGGGAGGATCATTTGAGCTCAGGACTTTGAGACCAGCCTGAGCAAGAGCAAGACCCCGTCTCTACCAAAAATAGAAAAAATTACCTGGGCATGGTGGCACATGCCTATAGTCCCCGCTACTCGGGAGGCTGAGGCAGGAGGATCGTTTGAGCCCAGGAGTTTGAGGTTGCTGTGAGCTAGGTTGATGCCACGGCACTCTAGCCCAGGCAACAGAATGTTATACTCATGTATTTTGAAGTAATCATTTTTATATTTCAGAAACATCTGAAAAGTATAGTAATTTATTTGATTTTATGAAACTTAATTGCTGTGAATTCTTAGGTTAGGGGATGTGGCAGATTTTGATTTTTCTATGGGGGAGGTCAACAAATGCATACTATTTTTTTGAAGGGCAGAAAAAATAATTATTAATATTTCTATATGTTTTGTTTATAAATTGTTTTAATGACATAAAAGTTGAATATGGCAATGTATAATCTTCACATTCTTCACCTGATTTGAATTAGAAAAAATAAAGTTTTGTTACTTATGACATTTTCTACCACCACCTCCTCCCTACTTTTGAGACAGAATCTCACTCTGCGGCACTGGCTAGAGTTCTGTGGTGTCAGTTTAGCTCACAGCAACCTCAAACTCCTGGACTAAAACAGTCCTCCTGCCTCAGCCTCCCAAGTAGCTGGGACTACAGGTGTATGCCACCACACCCAGCTAGTTTTTCTATTTTCAGTAGATACGGAGTCTCACTCTTACTCAGGTTGATCTCAAACGCTTGACCTCAAGTGATCCTCCCACCTTGGTCTTCCAGAATGCTATGATTATAGGCATGAGCCACCACTCCCAGCCTGAAATTTTCAAATGATGTTTCAATTAACAATGATTTCTTTCAAAGACTGGCAACATCTATTCAACGTCTGTAGAAGTAACCACTGCTGTTGTAAATTAGATTAACCATCAGTGGCTACATGAATCCATGTATTTGGTTGCTTCTACTTTTCACTAATATAGCTCTAGAATTTGTCTAGTCCGGGACATAATGTAATAAGAAGAGTTTTGCTTTTGTAATCAACAGCCTTGGTCTCAAATCCTGGCTGTCATATACTTGCTATGGGGCCAGGGCAGCTTATTGAAATGCTGCTAACCTTCCCCACAGAATTATTGTGGGGATTAAATGTGTTGCATATATTAAGTAACTAATAGAGTGCCCATTGCATATATTAAGTAACTGATAGAGTGCCCATTAAAAAAAAAATAGATGCTCAGTGAATACTAATTCCCTCCCTTTCTTTCCCCCACTAGTGCACTTGTGTTTTTAACCGACCACCCTTTATCTTGGATTGTGTTGTAGGAGGTATCGTGGATGGATGGCTGCTGGAAGCCCACTGCCATAGCCAGCTCTTCTTCAACACTTAAGGACTTACCTGGCGTTGAGTAATGAGAATTTCGGTAAGAAAAAATAGATGAAAATAGCATATGGGCTTTTCTTAAAGGGTCGTTTGAATCTCAGATACTTCATAGCATGTTATATGGTTACTCTGTAAAGATCTTGGGCTGTCACAGCTGTCTGACACATCTGCATTGTTCGTTTTTATTTTGAAAATATATAAAATAGGTTTTCAAAAACTCCATTAATAATCTTGCGATACTTTTCATGTCATTGTAAACATATTATTTCACTTGTCCTATTCCATTTTGTTCTTTAAATGTCTGTGTACTCGTAAACTGTGTAGTCTTTGGGGTGGGGTCTGGATATCATTTGTCTCTTTAGTGTGGACTAAATGAAGCACAGACTGTCAGTGATTCAGGTGGCAGTTACTCTGCTTTCTGAAAGTAGAAACGCTTTGACAGCACAAAATAGGTAGGCAAAAGTATCAAGACTCTGGAAAGTTATAAGATAAATGATTTTCCTATAAATCATTTTTACCAAGAAAAATTATTATATGATAGCCCTCAAGATAGAGTAGAATATATTTAGATGGTTTCATTTTTTTTCATAATAAATACTAATTTTGTATTATTGTAATGACAAGTGTTTTTTCATATCACCGCTAGGGATAGCAATACTTCCTCTGTCATAGATGGTTTCATTTTTAACCAGTTTTTCTCCAAATGATATTAATGTATAATTTTCATATATTTGCATAAATTACTATAACTACTGCATCTATGTTATTAATTGATGGTATTCATCTGTGCTGTATAAAGAATGCTGGCCTATTAAAAAAGAGAGAAGGATGAAGGGAAGGTCAAAGATTATATTAAAAATTAACTGGTGACATTAGTATATATGTAAATTATTAGATATGTAAACTTTGTTAAATTATCATCATTGTCCATACATCTGGAGAAATACCTATTAAAATATTTTGTGGATAAGAGTCAGAGATAGGAGAGAAAGCAAAAAATAAATAAATTCTACTTTCATTATTTTTAATAAGGAACATTAATTGTGAAATTATGATAAATTTATATTTTGGTACCTAAAATATGATACAATGTTATTTTAAACTTTTTCAGCTAAAAAAAATTAACCATTTTGTCTATGATTATGTTTTTCAGAAACCATATTTGAGAAGTACTTCCATCCAGTGCTACTTGTGTTTACTTCTAAACAGTCATTTTTTAACAGAGGCTGGCATTCATGTCTTCATTTTGGGGTAATTTTATCTTTAGGCATAGGTATCATCCTGTTAATGGACATGATGATTATCCTTGAATATCTTTTCTATAAATTGGTTTATGTTCGGTTTGCTTATATTGCTGGGTATTCAGTGTTTTGGATATGATAGAGAGCAGATTGTGAAGATTCAGAGGAGGTTTGGTAAACACTTAACTGAGCATTTCTATATTCTGGTAGTATTCTAAATGAGCATTTACCTACCAAATAAATTGGGCCCCTTGATAACGAACTAAACTTGATATCTTGTATGCTTTACACAGCAGTACAGATTAGCTATTTAGGATTTGCTTATATTACTTTTTTATCCATCCCTGACTTTTCCCACCCTTTATCCCTATTCTAGTTCATTTCTTTCTTCATTTAAGCCTTTTCTTTTTCCTTCTAATGGACATTCATGTTTTTCTGTGCCTATTAACTTTTTTCTTCTCTCTTAGATGCAGCTAATACACCCAGTTGGCCCAAAGCACCCAACCTATAGTTATATAATCTGACTCCCAGTTCAGTTTTACTCTGCTAATGCCTTCATAGTATTGGGAACCATAGATTTGTGCAGGTAAATCTTCATCCTAAGACAGATTAGTGTTGCCTATCATGCTTCTGTGCAAGATCCATCTGGGAGTGACTGTTTTTTCCTGAAACTGTAAGAATCATTCTGTAATCAGTTGGTCAGTGTGTCTTTTGTTTGAATATTAAATTTTGAATTTTACCAAAGTAAGTATGTGATATCAACCTAGATTGGGCTAAAGTCTGTAATGTTCATGAAGAAAGACCTGCTATTTGCACTGCAGTAACAGTGTGAAACAGCATGGAAGGGGCATGTTTAACATATTGTAAAGAACATTTACTGTCAAAACCATTACATAAAAATGATTATTACTTATTTTAGGCCTTTTACCTATTTGTTAGATTTAAAAGTCTGATGAAACCTCTACTTAAAGAAAGCTGATAATTCTCCTAAAAATGTTTATTCAGCACCGCTTTAATTTCATGGTGAAATAAAACATAAAATTGTACAATAAAATGGGTTTATCTCAGGTTATTTATGAATTAGACCTCCAGTTAGGCTTTTATCTAATCTGTGGTGCTCAATCCTCAAGCTCTCTATCCTAAAGCATCATGGTACTATGTACTATACTATATCATGGTACACATGTACCATGTGTTCAATGTTTATGTTTATGTACAAGGCTGTTGAATATACAGAGGCAAGGATAACATAGATCTGTTCACTGGTCAGAATAAAAAATTATTGATTGCTCTTTTGCTTATGGTATTCATCAAGACAGTATTACACTCATTCAAAATACTTTGCTCTCTGGTTCTTCTTTCAGATGTATCAGTGCAAGTCTTCCTAAAACAGAGGCCAGCTGGCAGCATGTAATAAGTGATCTGAAAATAATCGAAGATCTTATTCAAGTGAGTACTCATTTTTCACTAAGTAGCCAGTATAATTGCCATAGAGAATGTCTTTCTCCGTGCTTTTTCAGTAAGTCTTAATGAAATCTCACTTAGAACAATAATATTTTGCATGTGTTTATGAACCTTGTAAAGCCTCGAAAGAAATACTTTCTCCTTATTGCTTTAAGATTCTAATTATCTTTAAAACTTAATTTATAAGTGGCCCACCCTGAAGAACTCTAGTCTGCACAGGTCTGAGAGTCTCTTCCTCTATCTAGAGAAACCAGGGAGCTTGGGGGAACCTGAAGAGAGAATGGCTTAACCCAGGGAAGAGTTTGTGGACTAGTCTGCTCTCACCTGGAGTTATCAGGTGGCCTAATAGGAATGGCAGTGTTCAGATAGCAGAGCCTCTACTTAAAACAGTGGCCTGGAGAGGTATACTTTATTCCTGGGGACCAGAGTCTCCCATCCACTTCCTAGAGAAAGAAACCAGATGTCCTGGCCTGGAGAAGTGCTGCCTGCCCCAATAGGTGACACCAAAAGAATCAATGGGAGCCACAAGGGCACCAGGCATACCAAAGTAATACCACAAAAGTTCTAAACACTAAAAATGTTCATTTCAAAAGGTTGCCTACTATATGATTCCATTTACATAATATTCATGAAATGACAAAAATTATAGAACAGAGAAGTGGTTGCCAGAGTTGAGAGAGATTGAGTGGTGATGGGGAGGGGATGCTTGGGTAGGAAGGTGGATTTGGCTATGAAATAACAGCAGGAGAATCTTTGTAGTGACAGAACTATTAATATTTTATATTTTAACTGTGGTGGTGGTGATGCGAATCTACACGTGATGAAATTGCATAAAACTGCATGTGTGCTCATACACACACATATTAATGCACATAAAACTGTTGAAATATGAACAAGGTGGGTGGATTGTGTTAATGTCAATTTCCTGGTTGCTATATAGTACTATGATTCTGCAAGATACTACCATTGTGGGAAACTTGGTAAAGAATACACAGGATCTCTCTGTATTTTTCTTTAACGATTTCAAATGAATCTAAAATCACCTCAAAATAAAAAATTTAATTTAAATAGCCTAATTTAATGTTTTCAGCAGGTTGGTCTCATTATATATATCTAAAGTAGAGCACAGTTTTTCATATTATCTAATTTTGTTTCCTTTCAGTCTATACATATTGATGCTACTTTATATACTGAAAGTGATGTTCATGTAAGTATAGTATTTGTTATAAATTGTTATTTTGCCAGTTTTCAAAAGTTTAAGAAATGTATTTTCATAACTTAACTGAAATATGTACAGTTTTTAAATCTAACTTTTGGTGTGTTCTTATAATGTCAATGAATTTTATAAGCGTTTGTTGAGGTTGTAGGACAGAGAGCTACATAAATGCTATTTTTGTTATGGTGCCAAATCAAAATTTAAAAAAGCTTTTTCTATCAATGTCAAACAAAATACATCATACCTTTTTTGTGATGCAGTTGGATCATGATGCAATTAGATGCAAAAATCAGGTCAACTGATTCCATTTGAAAGGATCTAACATATTAGTTATTTCCGGTGCTGTAATGTATCACCATCTCCAGTTATATTTTCTATAAATTGCTTAAAGGCATCCATGTTCTCCATATTTCATGGATATTTGTGTTTGTCAGAAAAATATGCTAATGATTTGCTACATGAGAAAAGAAATAGAATCAGTAAAACTTATCACAATTCAAAATGATCTTGAACTTGTTTTATGAATACATTGACATTTCTTGAGACCTGTAGGATTTCGTTCGGTCTGGATTGTTACTAAAAGCAAATAACAGATCTCTGACTCACCTCATAGAAAACAAACTCCATATCCTCTCTCTGTTATTTCTCAATTAGAATTTGTTGGACATAGATGATTTCTAAGCATTGGGAAGAAGTCATATCTGGAAACTAGAAAAAAAAAAAGTATTCATTGACCACTTGGGTAGTGCTTCTGCACATAGAAATTGTTCCCTCTCTGCTTCAGCATGTTTTCCATTTTCTTTGCATTTTTTTTTCAAGCCAAAAGCAGTCAATTAACCAACAACATTCGGCATCCTGAGATGGCTTTTTTTCGAGAAGATAACCTTATAAACTCATGGGTTGTAGAGTAAACCAGAGATTGAAATTTAGATTTAAACACTGACTCAACCACTTTCTACCTGTGTTACCTTAGAAATCGCTAAACATTTCTAAACCTCGGTTTTATTATTGCTAACACGGTGACAACATTTACCTTTCAATGTGAAGCAACTGCCGTGGGGGGCAAGGAATATTGCCAGTGTCCAGTCCAAGAGCATATTCCCTCATTTCTTTATCCATTCAGTAAGCACTTGTTAAGTGCCTGCAGGGTCCCTGGCACTGTGCATTGGGGACATAAAGTCAAACAAGTCATGGTCAAATCCCCAGAGGTTCATTAAGTGTTTTCTGTCTTTGGAACTTAGGGCTGTTAAAGTAACTGTTGTGGGAAATGTATTTGTATGGTAGCTAAGAGATCCCTTTCTGATTTGGCCAGGCTGTGAGTAGGCACTACTCCTGCTTTGATTTTTCCAATACATTTCTTGGAATCACTTTTCCCTCTGGAACTTTAGAACTTGCAGGAATAATATGATCAGCAGCTACCACTATGTAAAATGTTAACGATACAATCTCATGTTAAAAATTTTTACAAATGCACCATATGTATTGATGTCTTAAGAGTCTAGGGCCAATATTATCCTCCTTTCCAAAGGAGAAATGTGCTCAGTGAGTAAAAGTGACCCATTATTTTCAGATTTTTCTAGTTTTATGTCTTTTCTTCTGTACAATATTGCCATCCTTCTTGATTGTGTTTTGTTGGTTTGTTTTAGTTTTCATTTTGAAGCTAAATGAAAAAAATATTAAGTTGTTTTCTTTGTAAAATTTCTTAACACTATTGTGTGCCTTTATAAAATATTTGAATTGACTTTTAAAAAATCAAAATTAAATCAATGTGAAAATGAATAATGAGAAAATGATTGTTTTTCCAAAATTGTTCTTTGTAACTCTTATTTTTAGCCTAATTGCAAAGTAACAGCAATGAAGTGCTTTCTCCTGGAGTTACAAGTTATTTTGCACGAGTCCAGAAATGTGACCCTTCAACAAACGGTAGAGAACCTTATTATCCTAGCGAATAGCGGTTTGTCTTCTAATGAGGTGAGTTGTCCAACAGTCAGATAGAGCTGCATCTGATGTTTTTGGCTTGCTTTTGTCATTCATGGACAAGCAGATCATCCTAAGAGACAGTCAGGAGAGAGAGTTCAGTTCTAGTGGCGTGCCATTCAAAAGTGGCATCATCTTTGGCATGCACACAGTCCTAAACTGTTCATTGACTTATTCAGTAACAAACATTAACAGAATAATGCCAGGCAGTGTGCTTTGGTGTTAGAGTGATAGCTGTGAGCCAAACAGGTCACTGACCTTAAGGTGTTTCCATCAGGAGCAATGGACAGACATTAATCTAATTACATAATTGAGTGTTTAACATCAATAATAGTAACTCACATTTGTTGGGTTATTTCTGTGTCCCAGACACTATTCTCTAAGATGTAAATTGATAGTTCATTTAATCCTCACAAGAAATCTGTGAGATAGTTATCCTTATTTATATCTGAAGGTTGAAGAAATTGGAGTACAGAGAGATTGAAGCACTTTCTCCAATTCATGCAGCTAGTAAAATGGGTAGCCACTATGTGTCCCCAAGCAGTCTCACTGCAGAGTCTGTCCTCTTACCTCCTGACAAGATAAATGCTGACAAGTGAACACAGTAAAAGTATTAGTAATTTGAGCATAACTTGCAACATCCCAGGCTACATGAGCAGTAGAAAGTTCCAGGAGGACAAGTCCTAGGAGCCCCCGTGGTAGGCTGGAAGACCAGCTGTGCAAAGGCCCTGAAGTGCATAGGATTATGGCTTTCATGGCCAAATACGTGTGTTCAAAACAAAGTGGAGAGAAAACAGTTTTATAAACAAAGAAAACATAACAAAATCCATTCATTTGATGAATACTTCTTAGCCCTTCAGGATACAATATGAAAAAAACACCTGCAGTCCTTGCTATTAAGAGGGGAAGAAACAGAAATAAGCCAATCTTTTCAGCAAATGAATAATAAATTAGTTATTTATTAAGTCCAGTGGTGAGAAATTAGGCAGGTAAGGGAGACTGAAGCTCTAGTTCAAGAGAAAGTTTAACTAATAAACTGACATTTGACAAAGATGTGAGGGCACAAACCTTAAGGGTGCCTAGGGAAACATGTTCAGGCAGAGGCAACTGACAATGCTATGACCGTGAGCTCTGGCTGGACTCCTTGACTTCTGCCTAAAAATGCCAGTCTGCTTCAGATTTTGGCCTAATGTCACCTTTCAGTGACATAACCTATTTATGACTGTGATGCCTTCCCCACTTGACACTTCCTGTCCCCTTCTCTGCTTGCCCCACTATCTGGCATACTATATATTTTACATAATGGGCATTGTTTGTTTGTTGCTACTAGTGTGTCATTTTTAAAGGTGCAGGTGTTTTTGTTTTTTTCAGTGCTGTATCCCAATTTCCAGAACAATGCCTCGCATATCCTAAATACTTGATATATTTATGAAATGGATTTAATTAATGTTCATAGTACTCCTGTGATATTATTTCCATCTTATTGATAAAAAGAGTGAGCCGTACATCAGATAACTCATGGCAGTACCAGTGATGAACTCTTTAAAATGCATGTTGATAGTCACCCTCAGCATGACATAGTGAGACATATGTACGGAAATGAGTGGGCAGAACTGCACAGTCAGAAGACCTGGGTGTGAAGCATTTCAGTTGGTTATGTCAACTGAGATGGGTTATTTAATATTTCTCCCTCCCTATCTGACATGATTATTTTCAGGATTAAATAGGATAGCATTATCTGGAATATGACAGTGCTTGGCATAGAGAATGTGCTTCATAAATATTGGTGAATCTGAATTCCAAATGCTTAATGGATATAAAATCTAATTTTGATTTTTGCTGGCACAGCCTTCATGGTTCAGATGATCTCTAAAACGTTGATTCATGATTGCTACATTTGGAATATTTCAGTTATCCATGACACTGTGTTTCAATTACAGCAATTTGTGATACCCCCACCCTCCAAATGGTTAAATTTAATCAAAGATTGGGTAATTACTATGTGCAAGGCTTAATGTTAAATACTAGGGAAACACAAATATATGGCTTTGCCTTCCTGAAAGACAGCTTAGAGAATAGAAGTGTAAAAAAGGTAAAACTGACAGTGTGAATGCAATACGCGAGGTACTGTGAATGAGGTCTAAAGAAGGGGTTCTGAGATACAGAGATGGGATGTTCAGCCCAGCAGGGGTTCAGAGAAGACTTCCTGAAGGGGGCAGCACCTGAATAATCTAAAGTGTGAGTAGCAGCAGTTAAAATAGGAAGAATGTCACAGACAGAGGGAAAAGCAGAGGAAGAGAAGCATCTGATAGCATGCTGTGCATGGTAAGGGAAGGCAGGGGCTCACTCAGGATTCCTAGGGCATGAAATTGAGATAGCGGAGAATGGTGAAAGAAATAGATAAGGAACATCTCATTGAGGGGCTGTGTGCTATGCAGGGAGGCACTGACTTTAAGCTAGAGGTAGATGATAAGAAACTATTGAAGGGCTCTAAGCAGGAAGTCCATGGTCTGATGGACATGGCTTATTTTTTTCAATGTCCTTAATCCATTATAGGAAAAATCAACCCATATCAAATCTCCCAGTTCTTTCTAATGTAATATCAATTTGCCAAAAGTTTCATGCATAATAGAAGTATAGTAGACTTGCCAATCTAATCCTGTCTTTTTATTTTGCAGAATGTGACAGAATCCGGATGCAAAGAATGTGAGGAACTGGAGGAAAAAAATATTAAAGAATTTTTGCAGAGTTTCGTACATATTGTACAAATGTTCATCAACCCTTCTTGATTGTAATTGATCCTTTTCAGTGTTTCTATTATTAACAAACACCTTCCTGCTGCTTAGAGACAACAAAACACTCTACATTTCCAATGTGCTGCCTAAACAAGCTTTTCTAGCAAGAAGATTATCAGGATCTTGGATCAGATGAATTCTTAGCCATGGAGGAAGAAAAATGTCACGGAGTAACAAAATTGACTATGAACTTCTCTCAGACATATTTTGCTCACTTTTTTAATTTATTATTGAAATTGTACATATTTGTAGCATAATATAAAATGTTGAATAAATGTGTGTACATGTTTTATCATTTGAAGTTGCATTCATATTTTACCTGTTATAGGAAAATAGGATGCATTTGTTTAAGGACTAATGGTTGAATTACGTACCAGGTGGTTGGGCTGGGTCCCAAAGGTACAGGTCAACAGCTATGCTGGTGTGGTTCTGCCAGTTTGAAGCCACTGACTAGCAGTCCTCATTCACTTCTTCATTAGGTGTAGCACCCAGAAAATGAACTGGCTACCAAGAAGAAAAATAGGAACTATGTGTGAACCCTGTGCTTTACTCTATAATGTAGTCATTGATATATAAAGCACCTGTTATGAAAGGAAAAAATTACAATACCTGGCATATGATGTACATCTGCAAATCATAGATGGTGGTGGGGGCAATAATCAACCTCACTGGATGGGTAGAATGGTGTATAGAAAACTAATGGTGATGATGTTTATATTTCATGCTTTCCCAAGTACAGGTATTTTGTTTTCACATTTGCCGTATTTGTAGAATAAAAAAAAAGACTTGATTTATTGCAGCCAATGTTATCTGACATACAATAATTGTTTATAATTTTTTTGCATTACACCATCTAAAATTAACAGGCTCTCTTCTAATGGAACTATGAGTAAGATGAAATATTCTTGTATCATTATGGATTTCGTTTGCCACCATTCATTCCTATTAGTCTTCACTGAGTGTGGCATAGGAAATGGTCTTCTAAAAATTCTGTTTCTCTCCATCCCACACCACACAAACTGGTTCACTTTTGAAATAATTTTATCATCCAGTGCCCCATCCATGTATCTCATTCCTTTAGTCAAACTGTGCTTATAAATATCTTCGAGATTGTTTTGGAGAAATCTGTATCCTATTTGACTTTTAAGGGGTCAGCTGTTGGCTCTTAGCTTGTTTCCTAATCTCAGTCCAAACAAATACTATCTGGCAACCACACTTTAAAGTTTACGGGTTGGGACTGTGATAGTTGTTTGTTTTGTTTTGTCTTGTTTAATTTCATTTGAAATGGAATTGTTTTTCAATCTACCTTTTATTTTGGTTTTGCTTTTCTAGATTTCTATTGATGGAGAGTAGGAAAAATGCACCATTTTTAACTCAAAGTTTCCAATCCAGTCCTTAGACAAAGGTTAGTCCCTTTTCAGTATTTGTTGGAATGGGGGTGGGGGGATCATAATGCCAGGCACTTTACAAATAACAGTCTATAGTGAGCAATAGTTCATGGTGATTATATAAGCACACAAATGGGTTTAAAATTTGGAATTTTCCAGAGCATAAATTTAGAATTCTTCTCATATTAGTTTCTTAATATGTATCACTTCAGTTGATCTTAAGAAACTTAAGGCTTGAAGCTCTTACTCAAGGGGGGAGGGAGGCACGGGCAATATATGTAACCTTAACACTTGTACCCCCATAATACGCTAAAATTAAAAAAAAAAGAAATTTAAGGCATATAAATCCACAACTTCTTGCAAATACTTAGTTAACTAAATAAAAAAATAATCATGTAAAATAATTCAAATTTGTTTTTCATGCTTGTACTCTTAACAAACTCAGTCTTTTGTTTGTGTTTTAAACTCTAACCATCTTGAACTGACTTCTTTAATTAACCAGCCCAATGTCATTTGCCTAGAGAATACTGTGTCTATGCCTCAACTACAGCTCTAAATGCTGTAGATGTGTGCTAAATGTATATTTGCCATATATTACATATAATAAAGCACCAAACCATATGCCTAGAAACTCAAATAGATAGGTAAGCCTAATAAAAATTAGGTTTCCAGCAAAATCATATTGATGAATTAGGTTCTTGCCTCTTCTTAATTTTAGGAAAGAAAAAGATAAAGGAGAGAATATTATCTCTACTTTCTGCTTAGCAGTGAACAAAAAGGGCTGGAAGGCAGAGGACATAGAAATGCAAAAAGAACCAATATATCATATTAATATAATTTTTGAGCCCAGAAAATTTAAAAAACCAATCACAAGTCTAGTTTTAGACACTCTCATTCTTTATCTCAGAAGAGTGAATCGTGGAATTATTTTGTTTTGCTGTTGTTGTTGTTAAAGGGGGGCTTGTATATTTTGATGTTACTGTTTATAGCCATCAAATTCAAGAATTCATAACATATACAGTATAAAAATCAAGTAATGCAATTTTTCCTTCTCCTCACCCCCCACCAGACACAGAGATACTAGAGAATGTGTTTTGTTCCTTCATCCGTGTTACGCCAAGCTTAGTTTAAGCTTTCTTCACTCGTATGAGTCATGGTTGATGTATGCATGCCTAATACAAATATGTTGCCCATAGGAAATTCCATTTCCATGGAGATTTGGTTCAATATTTTTGAATGTATCCAATGACTAAATTATGTCTTTTTTGAGGAATTTATTATGCAAGGTAAACCTTAGTTTTATTCAAAAGTCCCCTAATTGTAATTATATAATTACTAATGCAAATTAGAAGAAAAACTAATGAATGATTAAAAAAGAATCATGATTTTGTCCTACATTTTAAAACTTCAACCCTGGATTTCAAAATAACTATTAGAGGAAATGAAGAGGAAATTGTTAGACAGAAACAGAATTGAAAATTCTGCCTTTAGTTTTTATAAAGTGTCAACACTTTCAGAATATTGTCATCAGAGAATCCAATGTCACCCTACAGATTGTTTTTGTTTTTTCATCATCAGCATCACTGTTTTCTTTCATTAAGGAATGCACTCCCTCAGTCATATGGAAACCATATTTTTTTAAAACCTACTATGTGTGAACATTATGCTAGGTGCTACAAATATAGTTGTGAATAAGGAAGCCATAGTCTCAGCCCTCATGGAGTTTACATCCCAACAGAAGAGTCATACTATCAAACTAATCACTCAAGGGCTTATTCAATTACTATCAATTCTATGGAGGGCACCAAGAGAACATATAAAGGGAATACCTGATTTATTCAAGGTTTGAAGAGGGCTTGGTGATATCTGAACTCAGCCAAGAATTATGATGAAGACTTTTGTAGGGGGGAAGCAGGGAGAATTAATTAGAGAAACAACCTACCAAAATTGAGTCAGGAAGGATCACAGCATGTTCATAGCATGGAAGGAAGGCTAAGATGGCTAGGCCAAGGGAAAGAACTGAAAGAGGAAGCTGTTACAATAACTATCATCTGGTTTCATAGGCTCTAGTAAAGATTTTGCTCTGTTCCCCTAAAGAAATCCAAAGAAATGGGACTCCAACATGCATAAAAAATAGGATGTATTGTTTCTACTACTGAGAAAAGAGGTGAAGTCAAAAATCTCCTTACCACTAAATCCTAGCTCAGTAAAATAATTTCTAATAACAACATCTTACATGAATTATATCATTTCAGTTATTTCATGTATTCCTTGCAACACTTAATGGGGATCACCTTCAGCAAATAATTACCTATTCACTGTCAAAAACAACAAACCTGTTTGTAGTATATGTGATTGAGAGTCTGAAGTCATGAGGATTAATATATAAATCCAGAATTGAGAGGACTAGGAGAGCAAGATGGCAAAATAAGACTGTCTAGAGAATCGCCCCCTGCAGAAACATCAATTTGAACACCTATCCATGCACAAAAACACCTTCACAAGAGCTGAGGAAACCAGGTGAGAAATCACAATATCTGATTATAGCATAATAATAAGGAAATACACATTGAAGAGGGTAGGAAGAACCATTTCACTTTACCTGCATCACTCCTCCCCAGTTCTAGGCAGTATAGCATAGAGAGATAGCACCCACTTGAGAGAAAGAGAAGGAATTTAGTGTAGAATTTTGCATTGGTCCCTAACATCAGAATCAACCCAAACAAGCCTGCCCTGAGATCAAACTATTAAAAACCAAGAACTGGTACCAATTATTCAGATGATACTGTCATTTGTGACATGGATGAACCTGGAAGTCATTATGTTGGGGCACAGAAAGACAAATACCTCATGATTTGATGCGTATGTGGAATCTAAAAACAAAGTTGATCTCAAGAAGTAGAGAGTAGAATAGTGGTTACCAGAGGCTAGAGTGTTTAGGGTGGGAAGGAGGGTTAAGGAGATGTTGATCAAAGGACACATATGTATAATTAGATAGGAGAAATAAGATCAAAATATCTATCATACAACATGGTGACTATGGTTAATGACAATATACTATATTCTTGAAAAATGCTAAGAGAATTGGTAAGTGTTCCCATCACCAAAATGATACCTATTTAAGGTAATACGTGTGTTAATTAACTAGATTTAACCATTACACAATGTATATATACTTCAAAACATCATATTGCACACCAAAAATGCATACAATTTTATATATTAGTGTCAAATAAATTGATTTTTAAAACAATAAATCCAATGTTGAGTTCTGAAAACAGCCAAAATTGATCCATTGTCAAAATCTTAACACAAGGAAGGCTTCTTGAAAGGAATTTCTTTTTTTTTAACTTTTATTTATTTTTTAATATTTTTTTATTTCAGAATATTAGGGGGCTACATTTTGTTACATAATTGTTTTTGTACCATTGGAGTCAAAGTTATAAGTGTTCCTTCCCATCCTCCAGCATTGTGTCCATTGTGTCCATTAGGTATGAATTTTCCCATCCTCTCCTCACCCTCCCACTTGATTTCTGATTAATGTTATTTCCCTGTGGGCACATAAGTGTTGACTGATTAGTTCCAATCTAATGGTGAGTACATGTGGTGTTTGTTTTTCCATTCTTATGATACTTCACTTAGAAGAATGGTCTCCAGTTTCATCCAGATTAATATAAGAGTATTAGTTCACCATGTTTTATGGCTGAGTAATATTCCATGGTATACATATACCACATTTTATTAATCCACTCATATATTGATGGGCACTTGAGTTGTTTCCACATCTTTGCAATTGTGAATTGTGCTGCTATAAACATTTGAGTGCAGGTGTCATTTTTATAGAATGTCTTTTTTTTCCTTTGGGACTTTCTAAATTACTTTTAAGTAAGGACTATTTTTTGTTTTTAATTTA